CAGAACCCAGGCCTGGCATGTAAGTGAGAGGACCCAGAGCTGATTCTCATTCTACCCAGAGCCAGGCCCAGCATGGAACCCTTCAGCAGAACTCCCTGCAAAGAGGCTAGAGGCAAGACCCACCCAGCTGATTCAGGAGCAGAACATCTTGCCAGAGTGGCACAGAGGGCTCACTTCCAAGGGCTGCAGCAGGAAGAAGTGGAGCACAGCAGCCAGGCCCAAGCCACACCCACCTGGACCAGTTTGAACTTGGTAGATCCAGACCTGGTGCTAAGGTAATAACTCTATCTAAGCTCTACACCAAAGGTCAGAAGACAGTGGCATACAAAATGACAAAGAGAAGGAACAAAATGCAGTCTCAGGCCCCGAGTCCATCCAGAACAAATGCAGAAGACTAGCATAGAAGAAATTAAAAATCACACACTTGAAATCTCTGAAATAATAGTGTTGAAAGTAAAGAAACAGCTGCAGAAAGACATAGAGGAAATCAGATCAGAAATAATTTCTGAAGTAAAAAGAGAAATGATAAATATAATCAAAGAAGTACTAAGTGCTTCTAAAGAAGACACTGATAAAAAATAGAGCAGATTATAAAAACGATGGAATCCTTGAATAAGCAATATAGGAAAGAAATAGAATGAATGAAGCAGATTCAAAGTGGTATACAGGAAATTAAAACCTCAATCACAAACTGGCAAAACCATTTGAAGGAAAGTGACAATACTTTCAGACCTTAAAGACACCACTGCAGCTAGTGAAAAGGTAAGAAAAGATCTCTTAAAAACAACTAGGATGCAGAAAAAAATAATTCAATACCTGCAAGATGATGCAAAGATGAACAATGTGAGACTAATAGGCATCAATGAGAAGGAAGGAGTCAATACAAATTATATAAAAAGAATATGGGCAGAAGTAATAGCAGAAAACTCCCCAAATACAGGGAAAAACTCTGACATTCAGGGAACCAAAGCATATAAAACTCCAAATAAGATCAACCCAATTAAAACCACACCCAGACATAATAATCAAGATCCCAGAAATTCAGCACAGGAACAGTATACTAAAAGCCGCTAAAGAAAAGAAACAGATCACATTTAAAGGAAAACCCATCAGAATAATGGCAGATTTCTCTTTACAAACCATCAGGTCAAGAAGAGCATGGAGCAAAGTAATACAAGTCTTGCAAGAAAACAAATTCCAACCCAGACTGATATACCCTGCAAAACTCTCTTTCAAGTATAATGAAGAAGTGGAATATTTCCATGACAAAGAACAACGAAAGAATTTCAGGAAGACAAAGCCACGCCTACACAGACTACTAAATGGTGTTCTAGAGAGGGAGCAAAATGATCACAACTCCATGAATGAGAATGGAAAGAACCCACCAAATAGGGCAAACAATTAAACACAGGAGAATAAGTGGTATACAAAAGTAGTCTTTCAGTTGTTCTTTTGTGTACAGCAGCAAAATATTTTCATCAGCACACTGTACAAATGGACTTCTCCTGCACACTATGAGTCATGATTCCATCTGAGTCTACAGGGTGGATTTCAAGGAAATAGCAGTAGCTCAGTCCCACAAGTGACACCTGGCCACCAGTAACTGTTATGGTCATTATGCATGTCCACGACACACTAGAACTTTGTGCCATATCCTATCCCCAAACTGTTAGAAGTGCTGGTCATTTATTTACCATTCCAGTATTTTTTTATCTTATGTTTTATTCATAGTACTTTTTTGCTATCATGAAAACTTTTCTTAGTTCAATTGTTTTGAAACATTTAATTTTTAATTAATTAGTATTTAATTTTCTGAATATTGCTTAATCTTAATTTTTGTTTTAAGAGTTATATCTTTGACTTACAATTTATTTAAAAGACATGGTATGGTATCTTCATGCAGTATTAGAAACTTTAAAAAGTATATTTCCTTTTTCTGTTCACTTTATATTACTTCTTCCCTGTCTTTTATACACATACACACACACACATATATAAAAAAATACGTGTATAACCCGACATAAGATTGGTACTGTTTCATAGAAATTTTTGATGACCTTTTAAATAAGGGTTCATCTAATATATTTTATATAGTCCTGCATAACTATCATATTGAGAGCTCTTTATTGTTCATCCAGGAGCATACTGCAACTTCTCTTGCCTTTTGAATTATGCTCTTTGTTATTTCCTACATGCTACATCTGGAGGTATTAGAATATTTCAAGTTTGTATAACTGGAAAATATTTTATTTTTAGTTTTCAAAGGTATGTTTGCTAAGTTTAAAATGCAGAGAGGACAGATTTTTTTTTTCTTTCAGTCCTTTAATTAGTCTAGTTTCTTACACATTTGGTCTTTTTTTTACTTTCTAATGTGGAATAAGATGCTATTTAATTTTGTTCTTCCATAGCTAGTATTTTTATGTATATGTTTTAATGACTTTTTTCTTTACAATAAGTTTTGGACAATTTCATTTTTGTGTATCTTGGTATGATTTTATTCAAATTTCTTGTGCAAAAGGCTCATTTTTCTTGGAAATGTGGTGTTACAAGTTCAACTAAATTCAGAAATTTTAAATCTTTAAATATTTTTTACCTACCCCTTTCTACTTTAAGAATTCTAATTATATAAATATAAGTTTCTTGATTTTGACACAAAGTGAACTATTATATGACTGATCTGTGATTTCTTTCTTTATTTTTATTTTGGACAGTTTTTATTGTTATATTCATTTAAGTTTATAAATAATTTATTTACAGTGTACAATCTGTTAAGCCATGTGATGTATTCATTTCAGAAATATTTCTGTAAAAATCACTTCTACATCTTATATCTTTCACACTTCAATATTTGTCTATAATGTTTAATATGATATGTAATTATTGATTTTCAATACAGCTAATAAAAAAAGTACTACTCAATGACTAATCGAAGAAATAGTAGATCCACCATTTTGGTGAAATATACTTTTGTCCAAAATAGAATTTGTCTAACTCAACAAATTAAGACGTTTGAGCTATTTACATAGGCATATCTGGTTCTTATGAGAAGATCCGGCATATTTTGAGGAAGCAGATGCAATTCCACCTAAAGCTGAAATGGACAAAAATTAGAAGCGAGTCATTGGTGACTCTAGGCTTGTTTGTTCTACTGAGGAACATTAGAGAGCTTTCAAGTCTCAAGCCTTGAAAAACCCTAACAGTAGAATTGAAGCAAGAGAGAGAGCTATTTGGAGACTCCATGGTGCTGATTAATTCACGCTCAAGAGCAGCTCTTTCTCTCCCTTCTGGAGTCGCCATTCTTTCTCCTGTTTCCTCTCCCCAAGCAGCCAAAACAAGCAGCTAGCTGTCGGCTTCAATGATGGAAGAAAGGCCTGCAGCCCTGGCTGGAGACATGCGTCTCCTGCTGCTGGTGGGAGCTCAGCCGGAGCGGGGCCAGGCCGCGGCCACATGCCCTCCCGAGTCCTGAGTGCAGGTATGTTTGGACACCTCCATGATGGCTTCAGCGAAGAGCTATCATTTCAGGGTTTTAGCACAGACGTCTTTTGGCTCAGTGGCTCTGCCGAAAGTCAGGATAGTGCTGCCCAGTTATCTCTCTTTTTTTAAAAAATGCATTTAGCACAGTGTCTACAGGGTCTCACTACCCAGGTCCTCCTGTTTTTCAGCCTCCCAAGCACTGGAATTACAGGGGCACACCACCACACCCAGTCTCATTTGCCATCTCAGTGCACCCCGGGGGCAGGGCCAGCACAGCACACAGGGATCAAGCCCCAGCCCTGTGTCTGCCTAAGCAGGCACTTTAATCCACTTAGCTATATGGCCGGCCCTTGTCCAGTTACCTTTATCCTTTGAACCAAAATATTGTCTCTCTGCATTTTATTCTGACCATGGCCCTCTTTAAGAGCTGGGAAAAAATTCCCTGAAAACACAAATTCATTAAAAGTTAATTCTCCCCTTCTGTGAGGCTCAGCTGGTTTATTCAGAGAATTACTCCCATTCCCTGCTCATTGAGTTCTGTCTTCCTGAATTTCTACTGAAGAAGCACAATGTGTTACTAGGAAAAATATAATGATTTAGCTGCAGTTTGGCACGTAGAGCATTTCACACTGCTCCACATCTGCAGACAATGGATAAAAGCTGAAGCACAGCTCCCTCCTTGACTGAAAGCCGGCAAGACGTGCAATGATTGGAACGACTGGAAATTCTAAATATACTCCTGGCAACATGATGCCAGCAGATGAGTTACTCCTGGTGGGTGCCTCATATTAAATATTAAAGTATTACATAGCCACCATTCTCAGGGGATAACAGGTTTCAGGGAAAGAGTTGGAGCTTTCCGGAGACAGCTCAGTCCCCCACCAGAGAGACCCAGCGGTGGGGCTGTCTGCGGTCACTGTCACCTGCACGGCTCCTTGTGGCATGTGTGTGGGGCTGCTGTCTGCCTTGGTGACTCCTAGCTGGGCAGCAGCAAAGCCACCAGCCACCCGCCGTCATCTGTTCCATTCTCAGGGCCTGTACTCCTCAGGCTCAGACCCCTGGGAGCCTCTGTGAAGACAGATCCTAAAATTATTGCCTCAGGCTGACTTTAGACTCATTCATCAACTTTCACTGAGCTGAGGCAAAGACCCATTCACATTGCTCTGTGTGTGTGTGTGTGTGTGTGTGTGTGTGTGTGTCTGTCTGTCTGTCTGTCTGTCTGTCTGCCTGCCTGCCTTAGGGCAGGTGGGACAGCAAGGGGAAGAGGTTGGCCCAATTAATGCTCAGCCAGCCTCATTTAAAGAAGTCCAGAATGTAACAGCTTCTTTTCGGTCTCAGCTCTGGAGCGCTTGGCCCTGAAGATGTCACGTGGCTTTCTATCACCTCCTCAAGTCAAGTCCCTCAGATGCTCCAATTCCACCAGAAGACTGCAGCAGAAAAAGGGGGAGGCCCAGGTTTTCTGTTCCTGGGTGGTTGAATGTTGACAGTCACTGGATCTGTAAACTATTTGAGACTCTGATTGTTAGATGACAGTTTTGTCTAGGTTCATGACGCTGTTCCATCCCCTGCTCTCCCATAGTTTAAATGCTATTGAGATGCCTAGCAAGTGCACGAGCCTGAGTTCAATCCCTGGCTTTGAAAAAAAAAAATCCGATTGAGAAGAGAAGATTCAAGCACGTAGTACAGTGGAGTAATGTGGCCAGAGGGGCTGCTGATTTGATGTGTTGATTTGGCAAGGGTATGAAGCCCCACATTCATGTACACATCGCTGTGAGGCATCTTTTACATGTGATTAATGCTTACTTGGTAGACTTCAAGTAAAGCGTTATGTTATGGGTGGGCTGCATGTAATCAGTTGAAGGTCTTAAAAATCAAAACTGAGATTTCTGGCACAAGAAGAAATTCAGCCTCAAAACTGGAGTAGAAATCCTGCCTGAGTTTTCATCCTGGCCTGGCCTGAGGCTTTGAAACCTCTCAGCTGAGCCAGCTGTCTCATACACACGTGCTAACTGTATTAGCTAACCTTGTCGCTATGGGATGGAATCCCAGCTTGGAAGCAGAAAGGTTTATTTAGCTCACAGTTCCCACGGCTTCCGCCCATGGATGTCTGACTCCAAGGCAGAAACTATCGTGGCAGAGGGGCAAGGCAGAGGGGAGCTGCTGACCTTCTGGCAACCAGGGAGCAGGGTCAGGGCAGAGCCAAGAGGAAGGGGCCAGGGCCTGTTAGAGGCACCAAGACAGAGCCACGAGGACCCACTTCCTGTTGCTAGGCCCTCCTTCCTAGGTCTTCATCAACTCCTGGGAATCCGGCCAAGTTATGAGCCATCAGTGAATTCATCCACTGATAGTCAGTGCTGTCTGGATCAGTCCCTTCCCAGAGCACACGTGAGGCTGGGGAAGGCTGCCTCAGAATCTGAGATGGGGCTGTGGCTCTCTCCGTCTCTCTCTCCTGCAGAACCTTGACCTGCACAGGCATGTGTATGCAATGTTGGAGTTCACAGCAGGAAACTGCAGGCAGCAGAAATAAGTCAGGTTTCATGGAGAAGAAAGGCTAAGCCTCGTGGAGAGACAAATAGGGTAAGGTGAGCTGTTCCATGGAGCAGCTCATCCAGAAGGGAGACCAATGCCGGAGAGGCTCAGCTTGGGCATCTGAGAGTCCTAGAGTCCTGGCCTAGGTGCAGGGAGCCGGGTATTGGGGGCCATGGAGACTGAACTGGATGCCCCCGAGCACTGTTTCTTTATCCTCTGTGCAGGAGGCTTAGAAACCCCAGCTGCGTCTTTCAGGGAGGGAGCCCTCCCTTCCATAGCACACGGCCTGGCAACAGGGTTCACTTCGGTTGTTTGCAACTGGCTCTGGCTGTGACCGCGTCGCCGTCCTTCCTGCTGCTGCATGGCCAGGACACTCAGCCAGCTCCTTATGGGAACAGGGACCCAGGCATGCAGGTAGTGCTGAGGGAAGGAGAGCAGGTTCCTTCCCAGAGAGCAGAGACTCTCAGAGCTAGGGCCCAGGATCCAGGAAAGCTTTCTAGACATGCAGACGGGAGCCACACCCCGTCTAACACTCCGGCTTGCTGGGGGGGCGGAAGATAACCGCATGAAGCTTGAAGCCCACCCTACCAGAAGAACAGCAGGAGGTGGGGAAAAGAAGGCTCAGAGATGCCCACAGCTCTAGCTCCCAGAACCGCGAGAAGTAGCACATGCCCTTCTCCCCGCTGGAGCTCCAGGGCCATGACTTGCAGCTGATAGAGGGGAATGAAACTCCCAGCCTGAAAGATACCTGCACTGCATCTGTGTTCTCTAAACCTGAAGAACAAATTTTAGAAACAGTGGAGATTACAGCAGAATATATTTATGAGGGAAAGCAAGCTTCAGTCTGAGAGAGGGAGAGAAGGGGATTCAAGCAGGCTGCCTGGGAATCTGCCTTTCCTAGAGCGCTGGTTTTTTATTTTTTATTTTTTGTATTTAGGACATGTATTTTGTATTCTTTGTATTTAGGACAGGGTCTACAGGTTCTCACTGCACAGATTGGATTTGTGGTGATCTTCCTGTTTACAGCCTCCCGAGTGCTGCGATTACAGGCGTGCATCACCATGCCAGTCTCCTTCACCATCTCAGCATGCCCCGAGGGCTGGGCCAGCATGGCACACCAGGGATGGAACCCGGGTCCTTGCATCTGCCTAAGCAGGTGCTTTAATCTGCTGAGCTATCTGCCAGCCCTATTTCTAGAGTTTTTTAATAGGCAAAAACCATGAGGTGAGGTGGTCTAAGGTGGAAAACATATGAAGTTGCACATGAGGTGGGACAAACTGTGATCAACCCTTAAGACTGCTCAGGTAAAATTGGTTAAATCCAGGACCAAATGGGGAGTCCTACAGCATGTAGGCATGAAGGTAGAACAGGGGCTGATCTGCTGGGCTGGATTAGTGGCTCTTCCTGGCTTCCTCAAGTGATCATCAATCCTGGATGCTTGTCTTTAGGGAGGTAAGAATTTGGTTGGTCTTTGTTCTTGAGGTCTGGCCCACAGCAGGAATGTCTGTCTCTCCACAGTGTCAATATCTTCTATACTGTCTCCTTGAGGGCCTGGCGCTGTCTGATTGCCTATATTTCCATCGGATTCAGCTGCCTATAACACAGAGGCCACGCATCTCAGCCCACAAAATAGCACTTTATTTTCTATGTGAAATACAATCCAGACCTGAGCCTATAGCCACTTCCTTCCTTCTATGTGACAGTGACGAGACTCAGTCTACATTGTTATTGTCACCCTCAGGGAGGATCGAGGTCCTGGCTGGTGTAGGGCAGTTCCCCTCCTCCATGTCCTCCACAGCTGGGCTTGGGGTATTGTGGTATCTGGGGTCCCTGTGGTCACTGCTGAGCCAGCCATGGGGGTTGCTCCAGTTCTGGCTTCTGGCTACTCTTTTGGAGCCTGGAGGATCTCAGGGAGGCCTTCAGCCCAGCGGGTCTCCTCCTCATAAAAGCATCTCCCGCACGTCCGTTTCCCTCCACTTCTCTCCAGCCTCTGCAACACCGCCTCAGAGGGTTTAGGTTTCATAGCTCTCAGGCCCAGGCCTGAAGAGTCCTGCAGGCTGCTCTGGCTTCTGGCCCCAGGATGAACACCTCCCTGTGGCAGGAGGCCACGAGCAGCCTGGCCATCTGCTTCCCATGGAGGGGGGCAGGAACACAGGAGGACAAAGCAATTATGCCCCCACAGTAGGCCGCCCCACACTGCTGGCAGCTTGCTGCCCACCTTTCTAGAACTGTCTTGTGCTCACCAAGCACAATGTTGGCCCACATATAGGCTTTTCTTTTTAAAAACCAAGGATATTGGGGAAAGAAACTCCTACCCTCAAAGATAACTGGGAGGAGTGTGTGTTCTCTAAAACCAAAGAATGAATTTTAGGAACAATGGAGGTTAAAAGCAGAATCTATTTATTGAGAGAAAGAAAGCTTCTGTCCTGAGGGAGGGACAGAAGGGGCCCCAAGTAGGTTGCCAAGGACTCTGCCTTTTCTAGGGATTTTTATAGAGCAAATCCACAAGGTGAGGCGGGTCCAAAGTGGGAAACATGGGGACTCACAAAGTGGAAACGGAGTGGGATGAAACTATGGTCCATCAGCGGGATTGCAAGCACACAGCTCAGGTCAAATTGATTAAACTGGGATCAAATGAGGAAGGCAAGTCATACAGCAGGCGGGCAAGAATACAGAATGGGGGCTGGGCTTGGCTCAAAGGTAGAGTGCTTGCCTAGCAAGCTGGAAGCGCTGGGTTTGGCCCCGGCGCCAAGAACAGAAAATAAGCCTTCCCTAAGAAACAATTCACCTTGCAAGCACAGGGGCCTGAGTTCAATCCCTGGTTCTGAAAAAAAAAAAAAAAAAAAAAAAAAAAAAAAAAAAAAAAAAAAAATTCAACCAAAAATATACAGTAAAATCAAAAGAGACCAAACACAAACAAGGCAACAGAACAGAACAGGGGCTTCTCCTGTTGGGTTAGTGACGCTTTCTGGCTTCTTTCAAGGTGACTGAGGCCTGATCCCCAGGCCCGTCCCCAGGGAGGCATGTAAGTGTGATGGTTTGTTCTTTTGTCCGAGGTCTGGCCCACAGCAGGAGCGCCTGTGCCCCCCACAGGTGCAAAGCATCTTCTCTTCAAGGCCTCATCCGGCCTGACTGCCTGTGCTATTTCTATCTAACTCAGCTGCCTACAACACCAAGGGGTCGCACTCCATGTATGTGTCTACAATGTGCCTCTTCTATCCCTGTAACACGGACACCGTTTTAGATTTTCCTTGTTTTCTTCAGTGCCCCTGGGCGCTGGTCCACCTGCAGACGTGAGGGTAACTTCTGCCGCTTTGTTCTTCTGTGTGTGTGTGTGGGCATGCCTCGGTGTGCTTTCTCTTTCACGGCTTCCTAGAAGCGAGGTGACTAAGGTAACCACACGGCTAAGAAATCTGAAGCACACAGGTTTATGGGAGAGCTGCAGTGAAATCCACTCCAGAGCGCTGTGGGGCAGGGTCACCTCCGCTAGGGTGGGTACCTCAAGCTGGATTTTTGTTTATTTATTTATTTATTTTTATTTTTATTTTTTTGGCGGAACTGGGGATTGACCTCAGGCCCTTGCGCTTGGCAGGCAAGCGCTTATTCTACCGAGCTATTTCCCTGGCCCTTCAAGCTGGGCTTTTAGAAAGAGAGAGCCTGACCTTGAGTTACTCAGGAGCCTCGTGGAGGTGGCAGGTGGTGTGTGTACCTCTTCTGAGGGTGCCTTAGTGGGCAAGACTCTCAGGACCCACAGTTAGGAAGGGAGGGTCCAAGTTTCAGAGAAATACAAATCAAAGCTGTGCTGAAATTCTGTCTCACTCCAGGTAGATGGATGTCATCCAAAACATAAAAAACAAAAGCAGGGCACAGTGGGACACACCTATAATCCCAACACTTGGGAGGCTGAGGCAGCAGGACTTCCAGTCCAAGGCCAGCCTAAACTACGGAGTGAGATGCTGCCTCAAAAAAATGAACAAGCCAGCAGCAACGACAAAAAGAACACAAATCACAGGATGCTGGCCAGAAGCATGGTGGGGAGTGGGTAAGGAGCACCCCATGTTGCTGGGGCAAATGTAAGTTAGCACAGCCAGTTGGCAACCGTCTAGAGGTGCCTCAAAGAACTAAACAGAATTTCAAAACAGGATGACAGGAAATTAGCCATGGGTTTCATTGTTCTTTAATGATCTTAAAATAAAAATAAGAAAATATTGACAGAAATGAAATGGTGTGATGCCCTAGGACTGGGTCCATAACATAATGAAAGTCATGGGAGCTTGAAAGGATACTGATCTACAGAAATCCTTTTGAGAAGCTTAAGTAAAATTCTCCGTTACCATTAAACAAAACAAAACAAAAACTAAAAAGAGAAGTACAGTTGGATTTAGCTACACTGTGCTTTGGTGCAGCTCCTAAAGAATCTGTTCAATGTGAAGGAAAAACTGGGATGAGGAACAGAACAAGAAGAAGGAAAAGGAGGAGGAGGAGGAGGAAGAGGAGGAGGAGGAAGAGGAAGAGAAGGAAGAGGAGGAGGAGGAAGAGGAGGAGGAGGAGGAGAAGAAGAGGAAGAGGAAGAAGAAGAAGAAGAAGAAGAAGAAGAAGAAGAAGAAGAAGAAGAAGAAGAAGAAGAAGAA